TTTCATGCTAAGGTGGCAGCATACAGGCACAAAGCACCATGCTGTGGACATAGAACTATAAGTAGTTCAGCTTTGCTTGAGAAAAGGTTCATGATGTGTTGTGAAGAGAGATGAAGTTATAGAGGTAGGCAGTGGCCACACAATGAATGATTTTGTAAAACATGTTAAGGAGCCTGGAGTTTACCTTGGCCTCAAAAGGGGAGTAACAATTTCAGACTGTATTTTAACTAGAACTTCCTAGCCTCTGAGAGACATGATGACCAGTGACAGAATGAGGACCGAAGCCAACAATGTGAAAGTAGGTAGCTTCTATTGAGAAAGACAGATATGACAGATTGGATATGTGATGACTTCCAAGTGTTTGGCTTGGGTGAGAGTCAATGTGTGATGATGCTCCTCAACCAAAATAAATACATAAGAAAAAAAACATATGGACAGAGAAGATGATGGATTCATTTTGGATGTGTTGGGTTTAATATGTTTCTGGGTTACCTAGGTGAGGATCACTAGTAGAAAGTTAATATACAGTACAAAGGGAGAGATCTGAATAGGTTCAAATTTAGGTCAGCAAAATGTCAGAAATGCCTGAAGTTATGAGAGTGGATGGTCAGTTTTAATGCTTTATTTTTACTTTTTGGCATTCCAATAGGTGTGCAGTGGTATTTCATTGTGGTTAAAATTTTGATTTTCCCACTGTCTAGCAATATTTAGTATCTTTTGAAATGCTTACTTGCTATGCCTGTATCTCCTTTCATGTCTATTCAAATCTTTTGCTCAGTATTTTTAGTTGCTTTCTTATCATTATGTTTTGAGCAGACTTTATGTATTCTTGACAGAAGTTGGATCAGCTATATGCTTTACAAATATTTTCTCCCACAGCATCTTTTGAAGAGTGTAAATTTTTACTTTGCTGGAGCTCAATTTATCACTTCCTGCCCCCCAGTATCAGGGTTTTGGTATTATATCTAAGAAATCCTTGCCCAAATAAGGTGACAAATATTTTCACCTTTGTTTTCTTTTGTTATAGTTTTAAGTTTCTGATTAATTTCTACGATCTGTTCAGTCATTTTTTTGTATGTGATGTGAGGAGTGGATTGATGTAATGAGTGGACAGAATCAGCCACAAAGACTGTCAGAATGAGAAGTGCAAAACGTAGATAGAACCTGGTAAGTACAGAAGGTCAAGGCCTAAATTGGGGCAGCAAAAGAAAGAAAGAAAGAAAAAAACTTGACACAGAGATGCACTATCAACACTATCTTCTAAGATAGCAATAGAAACTATCTTTAAAACTTAGAGAGGTCTTCCCCCCCAAAAAAAAAAAATTCCTCAATGAAAAATATGAAAACAAAAACACAAAAAATGATCAGTACATTGGAAAATTTGTTTGCCTACTGCATAATGTATATGTGAATTATATGTAATATGTGTCATAAGGCCTTCTAAACAAACTTTTCTATTCTTTTAAGAGAGATAATTTTTGCTATAGGGCACGTGTACTCACCAGAGAGATAGAAAGCAAGAAATCATCCCCTGGGTAGATGGCCATGCTGCAATCCCTTTTCCTTCATTCTCATCTTGGGATTTTGGGCATGCATGTATGCGTGCCCAGTGTGAGTTTTAAGCCGCTGGGTCTAGGACTTGATCAGCAGTTGACTACATGGGAGTCTGGCGATGTAATCATTATGCCACCTGCTGGTCCTGCTACCCAAACTTTTCTAAAGTAGCCTGAGCAGACATGTTTATATTTCATATTCCATCAATGATGCTACAGTGATTATTTTTAAAATAACCAGTATAGAAAAAGAGATAACTCAAAGAAATTGTTGAGCTTCAAATGGATAACAATGAGCAATTAAACAAACATACGTTGAATATCTACTAATGTGTCAGGCATGGTGCTAAGTCTTATGGATGAGAATATGATTAAGATACAGTTCCTGACTTGATGAAATTGTCAGTCTGGTAAAGAAAAAATAAAAATGGATAAAGAAAATACAGGTTGACAGACAAGTGTATGCAAAGTACTGCTGTAATAAAAAGGAGATACCTAACTTAAGGAGTTGCAGATCTCTTGAAGGTTTGCTGAGCTTAGTCTGCCTTTCTTTCTTTCTTTCTTTCTTTCTTTCTTTCTTTCTTTTTTTTAAGAGAGACTTTTCCTATACGGTGCCTGCGCTTATGAGAGAGACAGAAAGCAAGAAATAGTTCCCCAGGGGAGATGGCCACACTGCAATCTCTTCTCTTCCATTCTCCTCTTGAGATTTTGGGTACGCGCACACACGTGCCCAGTATGAGTTTTAAGCCACCCGGTCTGGGACTTGAACTATAGTATAGTCGACTAGATGGGAGTCCAAGAATGTAATCATTACGCCATCTGCTGGCCCCTACTGAGCTTAGTCTTAAAGAGTAGATGTGACCTTGGCAGGAGATAGTGGGAGAGGTATTTCATGCTAAGGTGGCAGCATACAGGCACAAAGCACCATGCTGTGGACATAGAACTATAAGTAGTTCAGCTTTGCTTGAGAAAAGGTTCATGATGTGTTGTGAAGAGAGATGAAGTTATAGAGGTAGGCAGTGGCCACACAATGAATGATTTTGTAAAACATGTTAAGGAGCCTGGAGTTTACCTTGGCCTCAAAAGGGGAGTAACAATTTCAGACTGTATTTTAACTAGAACTTCCTAGCCTCTGAGAGACATGATGACCAGTGACAGAATGAGGACCGAAGCCAACAATGTGAAAGTAGGTAGCTTCTATTGAGAAAGACAGATATGACAGATTGGATATGTGATGACTTCCAAGTGTTTGGCTTGGGTGAGAGTCAATGTGTGATGATGCTCCTCAACCAAAATAAATACATAAGAAAAAAAACATATGGACAGAGAAGATGATGGATTCATTTTGGATGTGTTGGGTTTAATATGTTTCTGGGTTACCTAGGTGAGGATCACTAGTAGAAAGTTAATATACAGTACAAAGGGAGAGATCTGAATAGGTTCAAATTTAGGTCAGCAAAATGTCAGAAATGCCTGAAGTTATGAGAGTGGATGGTCAGTTTTAATGCTTTATTTTTACTTTTTGGCATTCCAATAGGTGTGCAGTGGTATTTCATTGTGGTTAAAATTTTGATTTTCCCACTGTCTAGCAATATTTAGTATCTTTTGAAATGCTTACTTGCTATGCCTGTATCTCCTTTCATGTCTATTCAAATCTTTTGCTCAGTATTTTTAGTTGCTTTCTTATCATTATGTTTTGAGCAGACTTTATGTATTCTTGACAGAAGTTGGATCAGCTATATGCTTTACAAATATTTTCTCCCACAGCATCTTTTGAAGAGTGTAAATTTTTACTTTGCTGGAGCTCAATTTATCACTTCCTGCCCCCCAGTATCAGGGTTTTGGTATTATATCTAAGAAATCCTTGCCCAAATAAGGTGACAAATATTTTCACCTTTGTTTTCTTTTGTTATAGTTTTAAGTTTCTGATTAATTTCTACGATCTGTTCAGTCATTTTTTTGTATGTGATGTGAGGAGTGGATTGATGTAATGAGTGGACAGAATCAGCCACAAAGACTGTCAGAATGAGAAGTGCAAAACGTAGATAGAACCTGGTAAGTACAGAAGGTCAAGGCCTAAATTGGGGCAGCAAAAGAAAGAAAGAAAGAAAAAAACTTGACACAGAGATGCACTATCAACACTATCTTCTAAGATAGCAATAGAAACTATCTTTAAAACTTAGAGAGGTCTTCCCCCCCAAAAAAAAAAACCTTAAAAAGGGACCAGCAGTTAGTGTAACGGCTATGTCGCTGGACTCCCACGTAGTAGACTTCAGTTCGAGTCCCAGACCCCGTGGCTTAAGACTCACGCTGGGCGCGAGTGAGTGTGTGCCCAGGATCCCGAGAGAAGGGAATGCAGCATGGCTATCCCATCTGGGGGGTGATTTCTCGCTTTCTGTCTCTCTGTCTCTGTCTGTCTGGCGAGGGCACGTGCCCTATAGCAAAAACCTTAAAAAAAAAAAAAAGGCACTTAAAGAGGTCTCTAGTGACTTTAGGAAGGGCATTTTTAGTCAAAACAAACTCTCTTTTTTTTTTTTTGGAGAGATTTTCACTGTAGGGCGCGTGCGCTCGCCAGACAGAGAGAGACATAGAGACAGAAAGCGAGAAATCACCCCCCAGGGGGGATGGTCACGCCGCAATCCCTTCTCCTCCATTCTCCTCTCAGGATCCTGGGCACGCACGCACACGCGCCCGGCTTGAGTTTTAAGCCACAGGGTCCGGGACACGAACCGCGGTCGACTACGTGGGAGTCCAGGGACATAACCATTACGCTAACTGCTGGTTCCCAAAACAAACTCTTTTGATAGCAGAACTACTCTAACCAACCACTTCTTGGGCGAGGTCCGAAAACCCTGGATGCTCTTAAAAGTCACTTCCAGAACGGGAGGGTCTGGGCTTCCCGACCCTGAGATTACAGGAGACTCTTGGGTCACCCTGGCATGTGGTCTCAGGAACAAGCCCGAGGAGTCACTGTCCCGCAGGTTAGCACTCCCGAGGGGTTTTACCAATCTGACACCTGACCAGGGAGGATGCTGGTTAAACTGTAGCAGAATGAGAAGGTGGGGATTAAAATCTGTGCGCTGGGCAAACCCGGGGCAATCTCTCCGACCTGCCATGCCCTCGTGTGTCTGGAGGCGCAGAAGCGCGGGCCCCGGCGACAACCCCACCCTTGGGTCCTGCTCCTCTGGTGAGAAGTTACTGCACTTACCCGGGCCCAAGGAGGGATGTTTAAGTCACTGGTTAAGGGGGTCACGGGCACGCCTGGCCCCCTCCCCGAGGCCATGTATGGAGCGGCCGACAGACCCAGCCTGACTGGCCTTGAGCCTCCTCGCATCAGCGGCGTTGGACCGTGGATACGCGAGGAACCGCCGTGCTGTCTCAGCCCGGGAGCTGCTCACCCAGCTCCTAGTCGTAAAGTGTCGTAAAGGCGTCGGCGTTTTGCGGCGCCGTAGGTGAGGCCGGCGTGGTTCTGCCTGCTCCGTGCAGATCCGCAGCTTTGGCGGCTGCTTCTGCAGCGAGATCGCAGTGACGAATTTGGGGATATTGGAGAACCAGCTACTATTCTCCCAGCGGGTAACTGGCTGCTCTCAGGTTTGGGTAGCAAAAGACAAAACTGGCAGGGTTTGCAACATGGATTCAAGCCTTACGTGTGATGGAAGGTTCTCAAACCTCACCGTCTTGTAACATGCCGCTTCTCTTATAATACCTACCTACTTTGGTTTTCAGCTTCGTATTTATCCCTACATTGTAGATATCCTCGGTGTAGCTGACATTGCTTTTCTCATTCATTTTGTCCTGCAGTCTTCTTCTCCCTGGAGTTTGAAATGCTTTACCTGATCGGCTTGGGCCTGGGAGATGCCAAGGACATCACAGTCAGGGGCCTGGAAGTTGTAAGACGCTGCAGTCGAGTGTACCTGGAAGCCTACACCTCAGTCCTGACTGTAGGGAAGGAAGCCCTGGTAGGTGCTTAGGGTTCCTAGCCTCCTGGGAAGAACGCTCTCTAACATCTGATTTTCATGCACTAAGCAGGACAGAATTTTCATGGCTGCTTGTTTAAACGCTTCAGAACACACCGCCTGTTCATTAAGAATCTGAGGAGTGTAGGAATGGAAATTGTACATCAACAAAATGACTTTGGAAAATGAAAGGGTGCATTGTTCTGCTTTACCAGTCTAAATTTATTGGTTTCTCCAGTAAATAAGAAAGTTGTTTTATGCTTCTAGCAATAGTTATCTAAATCCTTTATATAGCCAAGAAATCCCTTCTGAGTTGAGTGCTCATGAGTTGTTGACACAGCCTCAATGAGTAGGTTATTTATTCAGAAACCAAGCTCAAAGATCCCCCTCTAAATTATTTCCATAGGGAATGGTGATCACCTTTCCCTCTGTAACTTATCTAGAGAGGTATTACTTTTAAATAGCTTATCTCCCAGAAAGGATTATACTCATACACTTGTGTGTATTGAGTGAGCCTGAGTCTAATCAGAGAATTTGTTAATGTATTATACTTCTAGCTGGCCCCTGTAAGGGCTCAGTAAATTTAGAGGAAGGGTCACATTCAGGTTCATTGTCAAATTCCAAGTAGAATGACTAAATTCAAACGATTAGTAGACAGTCTATGGAAAGAAGATTTTTAAAAATTGTTTTTAACATGTCTTTCACACAAAAGAGTGACCTATAGAATTCAGGTCTTCTGATTTGATCAAGAGAGAAAGAAAGGGAAAACAAGAAAACAAGCCTCCACTACCTATGGTCAGCCATGTGGGAATCCAGCGCCTTAACCACCATGCCACCTACCAGCTCCTACTTTACAATTGTGAAGGAGAAATTAAGGACTGCTATTTGACTTGGCCATGCATTGAAATAAAATTTGTGTCTAATGGCTAGCTTTTTTTCTTTTTTTAATTTCTTAGCTTATATTTTTTGTCCTTTTAAGGATGAAACCAGTATACCTAACCTCAAAGTGATGGAAATATGCCTTTCTTAACAGTGATCAGAGAGTACTACAGTGAACTTAAAACCATCCAAGAGAAAGAGACAAACCAGTTTTATGAATGTCAAAGCATGTCATAGAGGAAAGTTTAGACCTAGTTTCGTCTTTGCCCTGTTACATGTTAATGTGACCTTGGACAAATCCTTTAACTTCAGTTTCTTCCTGTGTAAAGTGGGATCCAGAACGGGTGTGTGTGTGTGTGTGTGTGTATGTGTATACATATATATATGTGTATGTGTGTATATATATGTATATACATACACACACACACATACACATATATATATAGAGAGAGAGAGTTTCTAACCTTACTACCTGGCACAAAAGTATTCAGAACTAGTAGCTGTCAATAGACATTCTTCTACACTTCTCTGAACCTCAGATTTTTTCATTTTTCAAATGGAGATAATTACCAGTTGGAGAGTTATATGGGGTTTTTTAAGGTATATGTGAAAGTGCTTTGTAAATTCTCTGAGTTCAGGCTAAATGTTAATGTTGGTTGCTATGTTTACAAGTTTGTTTTTTGTTTTTTCTTTTTTCTCCAAAACAATACTTGTAGAGTTATTACAGTCTATATCTGGGGCTGGTCTTAACTACACCTACAAGTAAATTGTATTTGTTAAGGTGTTAGAATGTCTGTTCTTCCACAATACTATAAGTGTAACATAGAATACTTACTGTGTACTGTTTTAAATGCTTTACATGTAGAATAGAATTATTACTCTAAAATTACTGTTTACATTTTGCAAGTTTAGGAACTTGCCTAAGGTCATAATGATGGAGTCAGGATATGAACCAAAGCAGTCTTGAGTTAAGATTTGCTTCTTGCTGGGCCAGCAGTTGGCATACTAGCTATGTCGCTGGACTCCCACGTAGTCGACCGTAGTTCAAGTCCCAGACCTGGTGGCTTAAACTCATGCCAGGCAAGTGTGCATGCGTGCCCAAGATCCTGGGAGGAGAATGAAGGAGAAGGGATTGCAGCGTGGCCATCTCCCCTGGGGGGGTGATTTCCTGCTTTCTGTCTCACTGACTCTCTCTGTCTTTCTGGCGAGCACACGGGCCCTATAGCACAAACCTTTCCAAAAAAAAAAAAAACAAATTGCTTCTCGGGCCAGCAGATGGCATGGTGGTTAAGGGGGCTGGACTCCCACATGGCTAACTGTGGTTTGAATGTTGGACCTGGCAGCTTGCTTTCTCACTTTCTGTCTGTCTCTTTCTGTCCCTCTCTGGTTAAACTAAAATAAATCAATAAATAAGTAAATAAAGATACATAAAATAATTCTTAAAATAATAAAAAAGATTTACTTCTCTTGACCTCTATAGTGTACTGTGTCTCTGTATTCTTTTTTTTTTTTGGAGAGGTTTTTGCTGCAGGGTGTGTGCACTCACCAGAAAGACAGAGAAAGTGAGACAGAAAGCGAGAAATAACCCCTCAGCAGGGATGGCCATGCCACAATCCCTCCTCTTGGATGGCCACGCCACAATCCCTTCTCCATTCTCCTCTCAGGATCTTGGGCACGCACGCACACATGCCCGGTGTGAGTTTAAGCCACTAGATCCGAGACTCGAACCGTAGTCGACTACATGGGAGTCCAGCAACACAGCCATTATGCCAACTGCTGGTCCCTGTGTCTCTGTATTCTTAAGGATACATACTAGTCCACAGGATTCAAGCAAAATGTTGAATCCTTGATACCTCCCTGTCACAAAATGCCCCTGGTATTTTCTCCACATCTTCCTCCAGGTCCTAAGTTCATGTTCTTCCCTGAGCAACTTGCCATACAGTATCATCTCCCTTAAATGAATCATTTCTGAACTAAAGCAAGGTATAAATAAATAAATTCATATCATAAATTACTCAGTAAAATCTCAGAATTACTTTCTCTTCAACCACTTCCTTCCTTGTTCTGTTCTTATCTGCATTTTAAAAATAAATTACTTTTTAGAAATTGTTGACATATGCTTACACAGTTTGATGTCTGTAATTACAGATAGCTATAGCACCATAAAATTTTTGGAAAATTTTACCTGTTTTTACAATGGATTCACATTTCTTTTGTCAGTAATCAAGCTAATATTTTTAAAGAATTTATTTAATTTTATTTATTATTATCTTTATTATTACTATTATTATTATTTAGTTTGACCAGAGAGAGAAAGTGAGAAAGCAAGCTGCTAGATCTGGGACTCAAACCACAGTTGGCCACGTGGGAATCCACCATGTCACCTGCTGACCTCCAAGCTAATATATATATATATTTTTTGGAGAGGTTTTTCCACTATAGGGCGCGTGCGCTCGCCAGACAGACAGAGAGAGACATAGAGACAGAAAGCGAGAAATCACCCCCCAGAGGGGATGGTCACGCCGCAATCCCTTCTCCTCCATTCTCCTCTTGGGATCTTGGGTACGCACGCACATGCGCCTGGCGTGAGTTTTAAGCCACTGGGTCCGGGACGCGAACCGCGGTCGACTACGTGGGAGTCCAGCGACATAGTCATTATGCTAACTGCTGGTTCCCTAAGCTAATATTTTTTAAAAGTCATACATAAGTGTAGCTAAAGAAATCTATAATTAATCTGCTTTTACACTGAAAGCTGTTTTCAAATTACCAAACAGTATTATATATAGGTTCTTTGTTGAGACATTATTCTAGAGACAGGGATTCTAGAAGGAGTTTTAGTTTTTATATGTACCACTTGAATTTCTTTAGGCACCTTCTGTGGATAATTTATGATCCTATATGTCTATTTGGTATAATGCATGTGTGCATTATGCAGAGAAGCATAAACTGTAGTCTCTGTTCATAAATAGTTCATTGTTCATCTGCATTATACCCATGAAAACTTAAATATTGATTGAATATTTAAGTAACAATTTGTAATGGGAGAGAGAAACTGAAATCATATGCCAGGAAAGAAGCTAAATGATCTTACCTATAACACCACTTACTTTACCAGCTAAGAAGCAGAAGCTGTCTCAAACATGGGATTATCCCTGTTTATTGGTAACTACCAGGATACATGTGAAAAAGAAGATCACATCAGGGAATTCTCTGTAGTCAGGGGATACTATGGAATAGATAGAATTTGAGTTTGTTTTAAAATAGTGAATACCAATTGTTTTTCTTTGTTTTATATTTTGTTTTCTTTTATTTACATCATGGTCCAGATTGGAAATAGTACTATTTTTACAGCCCTGCAGGGCAAATGGAAGAAGCTGCTTATAGCCAGAGGAGAGTAACTATGGGGTCCTATCTACCCTGAAAAAAGCAGAGTCACCAATTTCTGCCAGTTCATGCCTCGTTCGTAGCCCAGGTGAAGTTCCTTGATCAAGGTTCTTTGGCACTGGGCAGCCACTCAACTTTACCGTGCTGTTTCTTACCTGTTAATTAGGGTTAAAAATAATGCCTGCGTTAGATTAAGATGAAGATTAAGTGAATTCATATTCATGCGGTTCTTAGAATCGTGCCTGATCACAGCATGAGCCTTCGTGTATTAGTATAATGTTGTTATTATAGATAAGATTTGATAAATAAAAAAGGCAAATATAGATAAGAGTTGGTAAGGTAAAGAGAAAGAGCTTTCCAGGTAAAATAACTGTGACCAAAGCATGGAGAAGGAAAGCACAGACCTTTGCTATACTTGTTATGCAACTTCACTAAAATAACTTTTTTTTTCCTCCTAGTGTTCGTTTTCCTTCTTTTCCTAATCCTCATCACTCTGATACTAGCTCCCTCTGTTTCCTTGTCCTGTCAACTGCTGTGAGTTGAAATCAGAGAGACCCAGGAGAGGACAATAAAAGACTTCATACTGAGAAAAATGAGACCATCATCTATGACCTTTATTAACTTATCTGCCCTTACCATAAATCTGAATCTGTCCTCTCTCTTCTATTCAAAAATGACATGTCAGATGAGGTTCTTTTCCTCTTCAAGATTAAACTCCATACAGATTACTTATTTTAAAACCTCTTCCTATTCCTAGGAGCCCTACTTGTATCCCTTTTTCTTTCTTCTTTATATTCAACCTTTATTAGTGTCTTTCTCTCCTTAGCCTAAAACCATGATCAAGCATTGTTCATCTGCCCCCAAATTTTTCTCTTTTAAATTTATTTTCCCTGTAGTTGCTCTTCTATCTTTTCTTTATCCAAGACTTTTTGAAAAAGTATACCTTGATTGTCCCAACTTTCACTCATGTCTCAGACTCCTGCAGGCTGAGTTCCATTCCTCAGAAGTACCTGTTAAACATTTCTTCACTAGCTCAGAATTTTGGAGAGTAGTTTTAAAATGTTGTATATCTTACCTCTTTTGATGTGGTTGACCACTTCTTGAACTGGTATTCAAGAAATGACTTTTTCTTGGTTTTATTCCTACTTTTCTATTTTTCTTAGTCCTCCTTGTGTAAACTCCTCATTTCTGTGTTCCTTTTGTATTAGTATTTTTTCAGATTCTGTCCATTTGTTTTCATATACTACTTTGAGCCTCTATTCTACCTTTAACCTGGAAATCCATAAAACGTTTTGACATCAAATGATATTAAAAGGTATATGCATCAGCAGATTTCTATCCCAGTTTCCCTTCCTGAAGGCAGTCATTACTAATTTCTTGTGTGTTCTTTCAGATATATTTGAAAATAATTTCAGGCTCTTCCCCAAATATTAAAAACTGTCCACTTAAAGCAATGAATTTTGAATTTTACTTACATTTTCATGAATAGAAATAGGGCTAAAGTTGTACAGAAACTTGCTAACCAGTTATTGGATAGTTTATAATCCATATTTAAAGGCATTTGTTCAATGATGCTATTCCCCCCCCCCCTTTGTACTCCCTGACTCCTGACTAGACTGGATGCTCCCTTAGCATGTAAGATGTAGTTAATTTCACACTAGATAGTATAGTATGCACCCCGGGAACAGGGGCCATGCGTATCTCATTCACTACTGTCCCCTAACATAAAGCACAGTGTCTTTCATGAAGGATGTGCATAAGAGATATGTTTCTAGTGAGTGAATGAATGAATAAATACATGGATAAAGTTTAAAATAACATAATTCCAGTCTCTTAGTGCTTTTGCTCTTTCCTTTTTTAAACTTTTTTTTTTAAGAGGAATAGCCATTTGATTGGGATATTAGTGTATGTAAACATTCAGTTGTCTCAATTAGACCATGAAATGTTTCTTAGTGTGGAATAAGTTATAAATTAAATAGAAAGTGATGCATGATAGAAGTCTTGAAGAGAGAGAAGGGTATTAGCATTAAACTAGTAGCATATGATTTCTTGATCTTTAAAAAATGCTAGAAATTCAAAAAAGGCAATCACTTCCTTCAGTTTCTGGTAATTGTGGGTGCTCTCTTAGAAACCTAACTGTAAGAGTTCTGCAGTGAATAAGTTTTCTGTTTTTATAAAATAAGAGTAAAATGTACAAAAGTTAACGATTAAGAAAAATGTATATGGTAAAACTGAAAATAAGGAGAACGTTATTTGGGGACTTCCAGAAGATTTAGAATCCAAGAAGGGATGCAGAAAAGACAGGGATCTTTTTTCACATTTGAGGAACAAATTCTAGTTAAGTATTAGAAAATAATTATCAGAGTTGGAGCTATCACATTTATCTCCAGACGCTCAGTTATTTGCTCATTTATTCATTTGTTTGACAAATATTATTGAGTACCAGATACTCTTCCACTATAGCAAGCTTTATAACTTTAACTGATTTAAACCTCACTATGTAAGAGACAGTATTAGTTACCTGTGCAGCTGTTTTTACTCCATTGCATTATATAGTACTCCACAGGAAGACCATGATAAGATTCATGATCTTGAATAATAGCCTGTTACAACTAAAATAGAACCATTAGCTTACTGTCTCACTCTCTCTTGGGTTTGTTCTCTAAAGTTGAACTTTAGAGGATTAATTTACAAGGCACCTTGTAAAGAAATTTCCTATATATTTAGAATTCAGTGTTTTCCCCTGAAACTCAAGAGTTTAGCAGGAATTAGGTGATATAGTTTTAAATTAGTCTTTCCTGCAATTAGGTAAAAATGTTTGTAATGTTTTGTAAACAGTTAAATCCTAATTTTCTGTTTAGTTCTCATTCATAGTGCTTTTTATTTTAGCCATTATACCATATATTTATTTTTCCCATAGAAAAATGATACAACCTAAACTATCGTGTATATTTATTATTCAATGTTTATTCTATATTATGTTTCTTAAGCATGGCTCATGCATGCATATCCTCTCTTCATCCTGCAATGTTCTGTCTAGTCTATTAGAACAAAATTTAGAGATAAATTTAAAATGCAAAAAGCCTCAGATGTTAAGAGGTCTGCCTCCTCTTGGGATATTAAGATAGCCCCAAAGACAGAGTTTAATTGCAACATGATATAGAGTGCTAGCTCATTGATGATTTGTATTCAATGATCTGTGTTTGGATGGTTGCCAAGATTTGCACCAGCCCCAGACAAAGATTGTTTTGTATGTATGTGTGCGTGTTTTGAAGTGGTCACCTGCTGTCTCTCATTTTGATATTGGACTTAAATCGGTAGGAAGAGTTTTATGGAAGAAAATTGATTCTTGCTGATAGAGAAGAGGTGGAACAGGAAGCAGATAATATTTTAAAGGATGCTGATATCAGTGATGTTGCATTCCTTGTTGTTGGTGATCCATTTGGGTAAGTCAAAGCCAGTATTTTGAGTTTTAATCTATTTTCTTTTTTTTTTTTTATACCACTAAATATTATTCTATTATATTTAAAACTCTTACTTGCTATGTACTAAGAGGCTCTATTTACTAAAGCTCTATTTACAATTTTTTAGTATAAATTTTCATTATCTTTGAGATTTATGAAGCATATTTGCTTGGTAAAGATATATATCTCACTATATTATCAAATGTTATTTCCAAAGTGTGTATATTGGTTTCTGCTGTTTTTTTGAAGGTCATGTAGGGGATGAAGTGCTTTAACTAGTATGTCATTGTAAAATATGTCATTAAGATATCAAAAGTCATGCCTGCCATTTGCTGCAGATAATTGCAAGAATATTCAGTTTCCTTTGTCCTAGGTTTTTTTTTTTTCTTTCTTAAATCATCTAATACTGGGTAATACTGCTGTTGCTTTATTTGCCTTTAATTTATTGTTTATCAAGCCTCTGATTTCAATTTGTTATACCCATTGGGAGCTCTGTCCTTCCTCATTACCAAGAAGATGGGCTTCTACTTGTCTAGTCAAGCATCATCAATCTCTAATGTCAAGCTAAACAGAAGAGTTCTTTGTCTACAGCTGGTGACCCAAGATTTATGTCACAGATTTAAGGAACATAAGGACAATTAAATCACTATGAGCCCACCACTAAGGATGTTTTTCAAAAGAATAAAGTTACATGTGTGTGTGTGTCTGTCAAAAAAAAAAATTTATGTCAGTATGAGGTGCCATAAATTGTATAGCATTATTATACTTGATTGCAAATGATACAATATAATCATAATCATATATTTTAAAATATTTAAAATACTTTTAGCCTTTGTCATTATTCTTTTGTAAATTTTGGATTTTCTTGGAAGTTATCAGTACTATTTTGTTATTGTTAGCTATAAGACAGTAAGATGCCATAAGAATATTGAAAAATCTTACATAAAAAAATAACTCTTGCAGGATTTTCTCATTTCATCCTGACTTCTTTATAAGACTTGCATTTTTGTGGTGAAATCTTCCCCCACCAAACTTGTCAATTTGATGGCACCACAGTTCTTATAATCACCTAGATAACTTTTGACTGTCCTGAAACGCAGTGTTCAATTAGCAATAAAAGTGCTACTCAAAGCGAGATTTGTGGATTAATGCCAGTCCACGATCTGTTTAAGTCTATGATAAGTATAGACATTGAGAGTAACCATTTAGGAGCTTCTGCAGCCATTTTAAAAAGTAAATTTTGTATCTACTGAGTCTTAATAATAAAAATTGGAACTTGTACTTTGTATTATTTTTTATTTTATTTTTCTAATTATTAAAATTTTTCTTTTTTATTGTATTGGATACGGCTATTGTCCCTTGCCAATTTAGAATGTAAAAACATGGGCCTTTCACCATCATTTGAGAAGGACTACTGTTGACTTGTTTTGCTAAGATTTTTAATATTCATCCCTTCCCACCCAGGCTGCCACCATTCAGCCCAATTCAGCACATACCTTTTGCCTCATCCATGTATAAACTCTTAATTTATGCCTGCACTGTGATAAAATTCACATTTATAGAACCACAGTTTGCAAACTTTACCAGGGTTCGTAAATGAGAGCTTTATTTATTCCATCATTACCCAGACATGAAATACAGTGCTCATCCTGCCCTTCTGCTATGTCCTCTCACTCTTGTATTGAAGGCCACACTTAGGTCAACCCTCTTGCCTTCCCTGTCATGCCTTCTCACCTTCACACCTTTGTTCAAACTCTTTCATTTCTAATGTTCTTCGACTTATCTCTTTCAGAAGCCTATCCATCTTTCAGAACTCAGCTTGAACGTCACATTCTCTATGGTGTAATGCCTAAATAGCCCAACCTGAAATCATACCTCCATTTAACTGCTGACACATACCATTCATGTGAGTTTTCATATAGTACCTTGTAATTCTTTTTCATATATCATTGTGTACATCTTTAGATTTATAGGCTGTTCTTTTATACTGTTTTACATCCCTAGCTTTCAATACTTGGTTTATAGTAGGAGCCTCTTGTTGGAACTAGTTTGGCATGAACACATTTTTTTGAGTGGGGAAGGCTGTGGATTAGAAATAGACACAATAACAAACACACAAAGACACACAAGTATAGAAAAGTGAGGATTGGGTGGGCATAGCTTCTCTGATGGAGAAGTTGCGACCAGAACTAGCCTCAGGTTTATTCTTTTAAAGGGCAGAAAATGGGATGCAAAAGGAATGGGGAAGAAGGAAATGGAATGTAAAGAGAATAAGGGAGGAGAAATTGGAATGCAAAGCCAGTTGTTTTAGATGTAAATTGTCTGAAGATGTGAAAATGACTGACCCGAAAATGACTGGCACCATATAATTTCTCTGACCTTTTCAGGGGAATAATTTGGTAAACACATGTGACATTCTTTAGCCCTACTAGGAGGTGTTGGGTATTAATAACAATGGGAAGACAACCATTGACAACAGGCAGATGCTGCTTTTGTATGTAGATGCTTTTCAGTAGCCCTCTAGAGTAGCTTATGAAGTGCATTTCTGCATGTGTCTATAGGCCACATGTTTTAATTACATGTTTTCAGATTGGCTGCTCTCCACACCTCTTAAATATGAATTGAAAGAGCTTTGTGGTATTTCGTCCAATGTCAAGAAAAAAAGAAAGATCAGGTATATCTTGGACGGGCATTTATACATTCAACAAATATATTTTGAACACCTGTCTTATCAAGGACTCCTACGTCCTGGATAATAAAAATAATAGATTTACCGTTTAGTGGGGGAGGCCAACATGAATCAAAAAATTAAAGATTAAATTTTAGTTTTGATAGTCATGTAAAGTTAAAAAAAATAGGAATTAATAGGAAGAGATTTAGGCAGTACCATATGGAAAAGCCTTTCTATGGAAGTGATAAATTTAAGTGAGTATCTGAGGAACAAAAAGGAACAGGAGGAAGGAAGAACATTCTAAGGAGAGGGAACAAGAATTTGTTCCTGGGACTGAAAGGCTTAGGGTGGCTGCAGTATATTGCATGAGAGAGAGAGGGATATGAGAAAGGTGATAGATAGACAGGAGCCAGGTCATATAGGCCTTGGAGGAACTAGGAATTTTATTTGAAATTCAGTGGTAAACCTTTGGAGTATTTTAAGCATGAAAAATCATAGTCGGGTTGACATTATTAACAGGTCACTCTGAATGCTGAGATGAATGGATTTTAGGGACCTAGGAGTATATCTCTGGTAGAAGAGAGGGAAAAGGACAGTCTGAGACACATTTAGAAGGAAGAATGCTAGGATGGGTTTGATAGATCAGGAAGAGGAAGAGACTAACTTCCAGGATCCTAGCTTTATAAGTGAGTGTTGATAGTGCTATTTGAAATCATGGAAACCAGTAGAAAATATGATTAGGGAAAACAGGAACTGGTTCTGGAAACCTCTGAAGTTTGAGATGTTGAGTAGGTCATTAGATATTTCCCGCTGGAGTTCAGGGGAGGTGTTATCCTGGAGATAGGTGTTTGAAGTCATCTGTGTAGATGGTGTTTAAGAAGCCATTGGTATAGATAGAAACACCTTAGAAGAGAACAGGAAGAAAGAAAAGCTAGGATTAAGGCCTGGGACATTTAAATATATTTAAATTAAAATATTTCTCTCTGTGGAGAGCCAGAGGATTATTTCTTCCATGGGAGATTGAGAGAGATAGAGCACCCCAACAGGGCCTAGACACCATGATCTACTCCTAGCCTTTGATGAGCTCCAGATCATGGGCAAGCATGGGCCCAACATAGTCAGGAGAGTCACCAGAAACCTTCAGGTGTGGGATTGCCTTACAGGACATTGAATTTTACCAATGTGCCATCATCTGACCCTTCGCCAACTTTTATATATTGCTGAGACTTCAGTGGATGTGTGACAAGGATAGAAAAATAGGTGCTTATTTAAATATACAATGTTTGAAACTCAACACTGGTGGCTTTATGAAGGAGTTGGTACTTGAGCCAAGATTGGATAGGGTTCAACAGTGGACATTGTGATGTGGGTCAGGTGGAAGGGAGAATTCCATATAAATGAAAAAACAGAGGCACACGGATAGTTGTAATCACTCCCTGGCTCAAATCCCTCCAGTGACTTTTTCATGACCTTAAATCTTGGTAAGTGTTTCTTTTCTGTCTTTTGTTTTTAATTGCTAGAGGGTATATGCTCTCACCTGAGGGAGCAGAGAGACAGAAAGAGAGGGAGAAAGCACCCACCTCTCCAGTAGGGTATGGTTACACTGCAATCCCTTCTCCTCCATCTCTTTATCCTGTCAGGATTTTGGTCATGCACACACATGCACCTAACATGTTTTTAAGCTGTCAGGGCCAGAATTTGAACGAGGCAGTAGGCTGTGTGGGACCCACTTACCTTGACAACTGAACTATGGGGCTGGCTAAAGTTTTTCTACATTTTTCTCTGGCTGCTGTTTGTGATTACTATGCTAGAACCAAATTAGCAGCTTTCCATTTTATAAGCATTTGGTTTTATTCTTCCCCCAAGTCCTTGCCCATGTTTTTTTTCCCTTAAAACAGACTGCACTTACCAGTTTCTAATTGGTAGAATAATATATTCAGCTCAGATGCTACCTCTCCCATTCCTATTTTACTCAGCAGAAAGTGCTTTTGTTTTCTTTTGAAGCTTCTGTTGCAATTAATTTGCTGTATTTCAGTGAGCAAATTATATTTATATATAACCTTGTATTTAAGGTCAAGTCATATTTACTTTACTACAGTTATTTATTTATTTATTTTTCCCATGGATTAGTGTTGGGATGCAGTAGGTGCAAATGGGATGTTGGGAACATGTGATTTCACTTGGACAAGTGAAGACTTAGAATTTAAATGGGTTAAATGAAGAAAACAGAACAGAAATATGCACTGCTAGGAGGCACGGAAATTCTTACACATAATAACCAAAATATTTTGTTTAATTTTAAGTCTCTTTCTACTTATTTAAATAAAACATTTAAAAAGAGGGTGATCGTTCAGGATGCTCAATCTTAAATTTTTTTAAACTTTTTTTTTTTTTTTTGGAGAGATTTTTGCCATAGGGCGTGTGCGCTCGCCAGACAGACAGAAAGAGAGAAATCACTCCCCAGGGGGGATGGCTATGCCGCAATCCCTTCTCCTCCATTCTCTTCTTGGGATCTTGGGCACACACACACACACACACACACACACACACACGCACACGCACGCACCCGGCGTGAGTTTTAAGCCACTGGTTCCGGGACTCAAAGCGCAGTTGACTATGTGGGAGTCCAGCGACATAGCCATTACACTAACTGCTGGTCCCAAAACTTTTTAAAGTTGTAGTAAGATACACCTAACACAAAGTTTTAAGCCTTGTAGGGGTACAGTTCAGCCACATTAAGTACTGTCACACTGCTGTGCAACCATCACCAGTGTCTATATCTAACAATCTTCAATTCTCAAAGAAAATAACCAAAAGTCATAGTTAAATAAGTTGATGTAGTTCTTACCTTAGCCTCTTATCCAGGTTATTGAAAGGAATGTGGAATTTAATCACATAGCCAAAGTACATGACTCTGAAATAAAACTATCAATCGCTATGACTTAGTCATTGAGAGATGATAGTCTCATTCTGTCCCTAACTCTTCTATTAGGAGAGCTGAACAGTTTTCATTAAACAGATTTTGTAATGATGTTTCTGTTTTGTTATTCCATTTTATATTTTAATATGCTCTGTAACTTTATGTATATTATACATGACTACATAATTTCTTCCCTTACTTCATGTTCCTTTTTCTTAATGGTATATACATTTAAAAAAATACCTTTGTTTGCCTATCTCCTATGTGCCCTAAATGTAGGCCATTCGGTTGCTTCTGTGCCACGCGTAATGCATTTGAACAGTGCTTGGCACCTAATAACTGTCCGGTGAATGTAAGGATTATGTCATTGGTCCATTTTATTCTCCAATATAAGTAAAACTACCAGGTATATATTAATTGGCATGATCTTTCTCCCTTTCTCACATCTTCATCTTTACATTTTGGGTTGTTTCCTTGTGATTAATTTCCAAAATAGATATTTTTGGTTTTGGTTTTGTTTTGTTTTTAATGTGCCACAAAGCACATGGACTCGCTAGGGAGACAAAAATGACAAAGCACCTGCCTTGGGAAACTGTCACTTTACAATCCCTTCTCCTGCATCTCTTTCTCTCCTTTCAGGATTTTAGGCATATACATATACATGCCTGGATGCTTCTCAAGCCCCCGTGTTTGGGACTCAAACTACACAGTTGGCCACATGGGATCCAGCTACCTTAAACTCCATGCCATGGGCTGGCACCCAAACAAACAAACAAAAAAAGGCAAAAGCTATGAAATGAACATTTTCTAGCATATGAAGTATGTTTTCAAGTTATTTTTTAAAACTATAATTCCAATTTATATTGCTTCCAGTAGTTTAAGACATCATTTTTATCATACCATTGTAAACATCATTGAATTTCCAGACCTATGTCAAATATGATGATATTATATCTGTAAACTAACATTATTATGAAATAAAATTTAAGAGGTTGGCAGGAGGTGTGGTGATTTAGGCTCTGGACTCCCACTTGGCCAACCACGGTTTGAGTCCCGATCCTGGGGGCTTGTTTTCACTTTCCTTTTCTTTTCCTATCTCTCTCTGGCCAAATTTAAAAAATAATAACAAATTAAATAAATCTTTATAAAAATAAAATTTAAAACAAACATATCAAATCTTACTCATTGAAATTGGTCATCTTTATGTAGTTCATTTTATGTGTGTACACACATATACAATTTTGGATAGAATCACATGTCCAGAAGCAGTAAATTCATGTGTGTGTATCTGGTCATTTTAAGTGAACTTGTGTTGAGACATAATTTTAAACCAGTTTTTCTTTTTTATTTATCTAGACAACATACTAAGTAACTAATTCGGTTATTATTGGTATTTTTTAGTGAGATTTTATTGATAATCAGTTATTATTGGTATTAAATAGTGAGATTCTATTGAAGGAGATAGTCAGAACATTCTTTACTTCTGGCATTCATGTTATTTTTTTAAAGCTTACCTAAATAAAATTAGTGATGATTTTTCATACTAGAATTTATTTTATGTGCATGATTAAAAACAGGCTTCCCTGGTGGGTATTTGTTAATCCGTACTTGAATGCCTCATGGGATGAAAGTCTTTGATCTTCCTACTTGGTGTGCATCGACCAGTTGACAGGTTTTGCTTGTTTTTGTGTAGTTTCTCAAACATGGTAATGTTTCTTTCCCCAGTAGAAAAAATTCTCCTGGAATTTTTATTGAGAGGTGGAAAAGACCTTTAATAATGCAGTACTAAATTGATGTGAGATTACATTTCACAATGCCTATATTTATATTTACATATATTCTCTGTTTACCCCAGTCTACCTAACTATGGTCATGAGATTTATCTCAAAAAAGGAAAGACAGCAGGTAGAATATGCACACACATAAATGCATTCACATATATTAATTATGTACAGTAACCAGACAAAAACAGTCATAAATAAAACAACTGCTTGACAGATATAAAACCTAACTAGAATTCTGTCAGATAGAACTCTTAATATAAAGACTGGAAGACTGACAGGCTAAGGAAATGTTCTATGTATCCTGCTTTATATTTAAAAAGAAAAAGTATTCAGAACAGAGCATAAGTAAAGAAGTGGGTATAGTTGCACCTTAATTTAGAACTCCAGAGCAGTAAAGGGGCCCTGAGTTGAAAGAGTTTCAGAATTGCTGTTCAGGAGTTCAATTGCTGAGCTTATATTCCATAGATGTCTTATGCAGGTATTCACAGAAGAGAGAACAAGTAAACTTGCCTTTTTCAGACCTTCTAAGGCTACTTTAAGACTGTTAACAATTGCGGTTCAACATTGCAAAGGGTATTTCTGGGCTTACAGCTTCTTGCTGAAGTGCCTACATGGAAACCTTATGCAGGCACTTAGCAGAATTTGAGGAGAAGCACTGCTTTTGACGCTTTGACTTGAACTCATGAAATATTTTAGCTTTACGGTCTTAAACAGTCAGTGTCGCTTTATTCCAACCTGATCTTTTGTCTCTTCAGGGCGACAACACACAGTGATCTTGTTCTGAGAGCAAAGAAGCTGGGACTCTCTTACCGAGTTATTCACAATGCCTCCATAATGAATGCAGTAGGCTGCTGCGGTTTACAGGTAGTGCTCCAAAAGAAGTTGTAATGGAATTAAGCAAAAATAGTTTATTTTTCTGTAAATTATACATAAATTTATGTCTCATAAACTATAAAGCACATTATCATTTGATCATGTACTACTTAGTATTAGGTTTTTATCTTTTTGTTTTTTTCAATTGCTATAGGGTGTATATGCTAGCCAGACAGAGAGAATGAGAGAGGAAGAAAGCAACCTCCAATGAGATGTGGTCATGTCACAATCCCTTCCCCTCCATTGCTTCCTCCTCTTGAGATACGGGCACACCTGCACACACACCCAGTTGTGGTTTTCAAGCTGGCAGGGTCAAGATTCAAACCCCAGTCAGCCATGTGGGCTCCAGCTCCCTTAACCACTGGGTTGTGAGCCAACCAATGTACTAAGTTTTTTAATCCTAAATCTTTTGTACTAAGTTTCCTGTAAACTTATGGGGATTTTTTCCTTTTTTTAACATCCTCATTGAAATAGGCCATTTAGATCTAGCTAGAGAATAATTTTAATTTTATATTAAATTCCTACATACATAAAAAGAAAAATGTAAGCTAACTAAATTGGTTATATATTCCTAAAATGGTTTACATCTTTTAAATAACTTATTAAGCATTGTCAAAGCCAATGTTTATGTGAACTGAGGCTCCGGGACTGACTAAGGCTGGAGGAATGGATTGTGTTGAGACCGTTCCAGGGGCACTATCTGTCTGTCTGTCTCTGCATCTTTCTCTCATGGAAGAAATAATTACTGTAAACTAAAACAAAAAAAAAATCAATGAAAAGAGTTAAAAACCAGCTGTTAAATCAGCTTTGCAATTATTGATGTGCAAAGTGAGTCACTGTTAATTCCAACAATCTTAGTTCTGAGGGGTTAAAAAAGCCTCTACAACTGTTTCTAAGATGTCCTTCATGCTGCTGCTGTTCCTTCTCCCTGTTTGATGTTTGTGCCCTGTTCATGCATGTATAATCTAGGACAACTGTGACTGCTGCATGGCCTCCACTGTCTTACAACTTCATTAAGACACAGTCTTATTTCAGATAGATTGTAATAAGAACATAATGTATGTTGTAAGTGTCTATGAAATGAAGTATTTCCTAGTGTATTTTCCTGAAATGCATAATTTAAAAATAGGCATATTTTAGAAAATATGTTAGCATCAGGTACCAGCACTATTGCTATAGCCTTAGAGGGGTCTGTATTTTCTGGGTTATCTAGGAAGAATAACTCAATTCAATTGATACTGACATTCATCTCTAAATATTACCTTTAATTGTGAAGAACCAGAGGAAATGAATAAAGGATTCACCTTTTAGTATCCACCACATCCTCTTAGTTAATATGTTTGAACTGAAATGTAAATCTATTATCCAGACTGGCTGGAACTAAACTGGCTGACTCTGTCCTTTTGATTATCTACATGATAGGTAAAGTATAATTGTTCTCAAGTCTAAAATGTATGAAGATATTTGAGAGGAAATTTACTGTGGGAATTGACAGTCTCCATATAAGTCACTAAGGTTATATTCATATTTAATACATTATTCTTCAAAATATTTAACTTTCTTTCAGTTATAAGCAGCCACAAACCATTTTTCCAGCAACTTGATTTTATTATATAATCTGGATATGAAATAACTGCTTATGTGAAAAACAGGAAGTGCTTTTGTAGGTTCTGGCTTATGCATTAAAGAATTTTCTATAAAAGTATATTTTTTGTACCACCAAAATTATTCATATTTCAGTAACAAGAGGTAATTATTGGTTCTGTTTATACAGTTAGTTATCAATACCATTACTAGTCATTAAGTGCATGGCACATTTAAAGCTTAAAATAAAAGTATAGATATCTTGCATAATACAAGAACTTTGCAATAATCATCTTCATAAGCATGAGCCTTTTTCTCTTTACCATTTGGGCTAGTGTGTATGGAGGAAACAATAACCTGAACTCGTGATTCTTAGACTTTAATATTCATCAGAATGCTGGGCCTTACCCTCAGACTTTCTGATACAATAGATATGAGGGGGGTGGGGCTGAAAATTGACATTTACAAATTCTTAGGTGATGCTGAAACTGCTGGTTTAGGTACCAGACTTTGAAAACTGCCAACCTAGATAAATCACAAACTTAGAAAATTAAAGAACTGTTTTATCTTTCTGTTAACATGTTAGGATTGGAAGAGTAGATTTTCATTCCTAGAAATACTCTTGCTAAATGTAAAATGTTAGCTGGTAACCTTGCCATCCTCTCTTGCTCAATTTTTTTAAAGAAGGAAGTAGGCACCACTTTTGAAAGGCATTCTGTCATCTCTGTGAAAGAGCTTTCCCATGACTTCAAAAACAGCCATTGAAGTGTTGAATAAAAGCACTGTATTGGGTGCTGTGACAGACCTGAACAGTACATGCTTTCCACCATCTTTGCCTTGGATTAAAGAGTAGCAGTATGAAATTCCTAACCTTCAAATGGGTACATACTTTTAAACTATTAGTTTATCAACCTCTTTTGAATTATCTTGGGTTTTTTGTTGTTGTTGTTGTTGTTATTTTCTAAAGAAACAGCGTAGAGTTCAAAAGTAAATATTAAATATTATTCATTATCTTTGTAGTTTATTAGCCAACAGAAGATTCTTGTTATTCAGTATTAATGATGGTAAGTGGAGGCATAACTATGTGCTGTTTCTACATATCCACACATACATATTTAATCAGGCAGGATGTATTCTATTACAGTCATGCACTAAAATGAAATTCCTTACCACAATGCCTATAGTCCAAAAAATTATTTTCTTGTAAAACGGAAAGTATATTAGACACTTTTAACAGGAACAGTTCATTCAACAAATCCTGTTTACCTACCTCTTATTTACTACTAGTGCCTTTGGATAGAGTGATAAATTCAATAAGAACCGTGTTCTCAAGGAGCTTATATTTTACCAGAGAGACAGTAATTAATGAAAACAAAATGAATGTCAAGTAGTAGTAATATAAGAAATGCGAGGAGAGTGATATGTTAGAGAGTGACTAGGTGGTTACTATAGTCAGGGGAAGTCACGAAAAAAGTGACATTAGAAAGTAGATATAAATTGAGAAGAAACTAGCACATTCCAGTCAGATATAACAGTGCAAAGGCCTTAAAGTGGAAATGAATTTAGCTTCTTAAAAAGTCTCCTAAAAAGCTTGGACTATAGCAGGCAAAGGGAAGGTTGAGTAGGTGGGTAAGGGCCAGATCACTAAGCTTTCTAATCTAGCATCAAAAGTTTGAATTTTATTCTAAATGACATAGATTGTCATTGGAAGGTATTAACAGTAGAAAGACTCGACATGATAAATATTTTTAAAGAATTATATTTAACTTTATTTATTTTAATTTGACCATAGAGGGACAGAACGAGAGAGAGAGAAAGTGAGAAAGGAAGCTGCCAGATCTAGGACTCAAACCCTGGTCTGCCATGTGGGGAGTCCAGCGCCCTTATCCACCACACTACCTGCTGGCTCAGATCTGATGAATGTTTTTAAAAGTTTATCTCAGGCTGGTTTGTAGAGATGGAGTTGCTCCTATGCAAGATTAGAATTGAGGAAATTAATTAGGAAGCTGTTGCAGCTATGTAGAGGAGAGATGATGGTGACTTGAACTGCATGCAGGAGGAGGATATAAAAGAACCTCAAAAAGTTCATGGAAAGTGGAATTAAAATATGATATAAAAATGTTTTGAAACCCATGCATAAAATTTTCATAATATGTGTTTTTCACAGAAAACATGTATATACATATTTACCACAGAAACCTTGGCTATCTAGGGAGTTCATTAATACAAGACTTAGAATATATGAGCATCAGGAACCAGCAGTTAGCGTAATGGCTATGTCGCTGGACTCCCACGTAGTCGACCGCGGTTTGCGTCCTGGACCCGGTGGCTTAAAACTCATGCCAGGCATGTGTGCGTGCGTACCCAAGATCCCAGAGGAGAATGGAAGAGAAGGGATTGCGGTGTGACCATCCCCGCTGGGGGGGGTGATTTCTCACTTTCTGTCTCTATGTCTCTCTCTCTGTCTGTCTGGCGAGCGATAGCAAAAAAAACCTCTCAAAAAAAAAAAAGCACTGTATTGGGTGCTGTGACAGACCTGAACAGTACATGCTTTCCACCATCTTTGCCTTGGATTAAAGAGTAGCAGTATGAAATTCCTAACCTTCAAATGGGTACATACTTTTAAACTATTAGTTTATCAACCTCTTTTGAATTATCTTGGGTTTTTTGTTGTTGTTGTTGTTGTTATTTTCTAAAGAAACAGCGTAGAGTTCAAAAGTAAATATTAAATATTATTCATTATCTTTGTAGTTTATTAGCCAACAGAAGATTCTTGTTATTCAGTATTAATGATGGTAAGTGGAGGCATAACTATGTGCTGTTTCTACATATCCACACATACATATTTAATCAGGCAGGATGTATTCTATTACAGTCATGCACTAAAATGAAATTCCTTACCACAATGCCTATAGTCCAAAAAATTATTTTCTTGTAAAACGGAAAGTATATTAGACACTTTTAACAGGAACAGTTCATTCAACAAATCCTGTTTACCTACCTCTTATTTACTACTAGTGCCTTTGGATAGAGTGATAAATTCAATAAGAACCGTGTTCTCAAGGAGCTTATATTTTACCAGAGAGACAGTAATTAATGAAAACAAAATGAATGTCAAGTAGTAGTAATATAAGAAATGCGAGGAGAGTGATATGTTAGAGAGTGACTAGGTGGTTACTATAGTCAGGGGAAGTCACGAAAAAAGTGACATTAGAAAGTAGATATAAATTGAGAAGAAACTAGCACATTCCAGTCAGATATAACAGTGCAAAGGCCTTAAAGTGGAAATGAATTTAGCTTCTTAAAAAGTCTCCTAAAAAGCTTGGACTATAGCAGGCAAAGGGAAGGTTGAGTAGGTGGGTAAGGGCCAGATCACTAAGCTTTCTAATCTAGCATCAAAAGTTTGA